GTGAGTGCTGACATCTGTACATCTCCACCATTCAATGCTGGGCCCCAGGGACATGTCTAGCTTTATATGTGGGTGCTGGGGATTCAAACCCAGGCCCTCATGCCTGAAGGACTAGTCCTCTCATCGGCTGAGCCACTCCCCTTGCTGCCCTTTCCTTCCGGATTACGCTATCCTCACGGTAACTCAGGCAGTTTCTGCTCTCACATTAGATACTGTACTATTCTATTGCCAGCTTTTTAATTTTGTTTATTCATGGAGAAATTCATACAGTATGTTCTCTCATAGTCTTTTGTTCCCGAACTCCTAGATCCTCCTGCCCCCTTCCACCCAGTTTCATGTTCTTTCTCAAACCATGGAGTCTGATTTGCCCTGGATAACCGCTCCTGAGCACACGCCTCCCAGCGTTACGTCACTGAAGGAAGCTGATTGTCCCTCTCCCACCAGCCACTATCTGTGAAAAACTTCTCGGCTGGGTGTGAGACTTTCTGCAGCCTACGCTTCTTTGTGGTTGGATTTTGTCTAACTTGATCTTGCGCAGGCCGGTCCCTGTGAGTTCACACGTGCATCAGCCCCATTATGTCTGGAAGATATTGTTTCCTTAGGATCATCCACATTTCTGGCTCTTACAACCTTTCCATTACTCTTCCTCACAGATCCCCAAGCCTTGAGGAGAAAACTGTGATAAAATCATCCCATTCAGGGTGAGCACCCTGAAGTCTCTCTCACCCCTCCACGTTGTCCAGCTGAGGTCTCTGCAATAGTTCCCATCTACTGTAAGAATCGCCCTCTGCTGAGGTCAGAGCGATGCGATGACCTCTGGGAATAACAATATGTCATTAGAAGTCATTTCACTGTTCAGCTAGCAGAATGAGAGACATGGCTCTTCCCCTGGAGCTCATGACCTACCCAGGCTCAGGTTCTTGGCATCCTTAACATTTCCATCTCCACAGTTTAACCTCCTTCCCTCCTTATACAGCTCCGGACCTCACGAATGCCTTAGCTTCTGTGCCCTCTGCCTTTGCTCTGCCCAGCACACAGCTCCAAACACTGTAAAGCAAGTGCCAGGTTTTCTCATTTAGCTCCCCGTGTCCTATAGAGCACTTCGGTTTGGTAGAAAACTGAATTATTCAAACTTTGTTCAGTTGAGTTTATGGGTCTGAATTGGATTAAAGGAGCCTATTCATTGTCTCTTTTATGGCTCTATATTATATAAAAAAAGGCTGAAATACTTTTCTTTAGTTAAACCATCGAAGAAGCTAACAGAGTAGCTGTACCTGAGCAACAACAGCATTTACTGACTTCTGTAAGATGGATACCAACCGAGACAAACAATATGACAGAGCAAGAAGAGTGTGCAGAGCACCAAGCCAGGCTTTCCTTGGCAAGCTTAGAAAACATTCAGTCGCCAACCCACGAACTATGGGTTTGTTTTTCAGCAAACATTTCAACAACCACGATCTGCTTTCTTACAGAACCAGTAATTGTTCTCTATTCATAGGCAAAAATACATATGGAGAAAAATTGAAATAAGTCCGAGTGTATGATGGGGTGGTCCCATTTGCACAGCCAGGGTCAGGTGCAGATGATGTGACTGCTTTGTTTTAGGAAAGGCTACATTGGCTTCTTGGACTGAGCCTCAAACGTTGTAACTTTTACAGTCAGTGCAAAGTTAGCAAACCTTAGGCAGTTAGAATGATTTTATCACATTAATTTTGACTTATAAGTCTCTGAAATATGTTTTAGGAAACAATATAAAAGAACCGATATTGAAGTATGTCTGGGCACCACCTCATTCCCCTTACCCTAGTGCTTTTAAACGGATGCAGTGATGTGTGCACCAGCCGGTTTTCCTTTCTTTCAACACAGTGAAAACCTGCGTAATTATGAAAGTTTAAATGCTTAGGTCTTTTACTATTTATTTTATTTGAAATCCAGCATATTATTATATATCTTCAGAACTCTAACTGCCGTCTTCTTCTAACCCTTCAATTAAATCCCACAATGCAAACCTCTTGGCACTAGACCCATCTTTCATGTTTATTCAACGGTGCACGAATCTTGAAAACGTGTTGAAGTTTGGGGTTTTCTGGTGAGTCTGACATCACGCTGCCCGTGGCTGTGATTGGCTCCTGGGAGGCAGAGAGGGTTTATAGCCAGCAAGAGCAAGTGAATGAGTGAGTGACAGCAGAGGGAACAATCCGTGCCACTCACTCAGTCCAGCCAGGACCGCCAAAGGGTAAGACAGCCAGCAAACTTCCCTACCTCACAGCCAGGCACCTCAGGCGTACCTGTGTGGGTTTGGCTTGGAATTTTTTTATTGGGGTCTTATTGCATTGTGCACAATGATTGAACTTCTGTTTACTATGAAATGGGACCTCTGAGTTTAGCTTCTTCCCAAAGGCCAGACTTCTTAACCTAAGCAAGCAAGTAAACTGTCCTGATTGAGAGCTTGAACTAGGAAATGATGTGTCTTTCTTTTCCTACATATCCTGGCCAACTGTTTTTCGCATGCTGATGTATTTAGGGCATCCTAACTGTAATGCTATTTACATTTGTAAATTGCCTAGATATATGTATTTTCCATAAATTACACCTGTTCTGTACTTCAATAATGCACAGTATCTTTTCAATATATTCTACATTAAATTTCAAAGTGATCATATCCTATACTCTAAAATTAATATGGGAATGTATACTACTAGAGAAGTAAACGGTTTTGCTATCTCAAATGTAATTGTAAGACAATCGTTTAGAGTGTTTGAGTTGGCCAATCAGCAGTGGCCACTATGGAAGTCCCTGCTGTTGAGTGAATCAGAAAGTAAATAAGAGGAGATTAACATGGGCAGTCGGTTGAAGTATTCATGTTTCTCTTGTTTTTATATAGAAAATCTTGTCCTCCCTGCCATGCTTTTACTCTGATTAGGTCAATATTTCTTTTGAGACATTTTACTTGTCACAGCTCTGTCTACAGTTCTATATATTCAAGTTTTAAGTTCTTTGAATATTAGGAATATCACATTTCATGGTGCTATGAAGCAAATTTCCTCCTCCTCCTCCCTCTTCCTTTACTCCTTCATTGCTGTCATTTTTGTTTTTTTTTTTTATATATAGAGAGAGTCTTTTATAGCTCAGACTTTCTGCGAATTTATTGTGTAGCCAAGGATATCCTTGAATGCCCGATTCTCCTGCATCCACCTCCTGAGTGTACCACCAGGACTGGATCATCAGCCTTCTTAAACAGGTGGTCCATCTTCAACGACTAAACCCGTTTGATCCTCTGAATTTTTAAACTGTGTGTGCCTCTGCCTCTATATCTGTCTTTCTCTCTTCTGTCCCCACCCTCTCTCTTCTGTTTGCATACAAACAAATATGAATGATCCCAAGACACGACGTCAAAAAAGCTGTGGAAAGAGTATGTACACATCAAATCAGAATTCTCACACCAGCAGTGCATTTGGAGCCCCACTCTGAGTAAAGGTTGCTTTAGTATCTAATACTCAGCATAGCTGTAGTATATGCTAATGATGAGGCAAGATAAAAAGATCCCCCCACAGAGTATAGTATGTAACCCAAGTTCTATGCATTTTAAGTATCTCATTACAGGATGTATTTGGAGATTGTTATTCCCTTTGTCATTGTGTATGAAGCAACTCTCATCAGCTGTGAGTGAGCAAGTGTTAGGATTCCAGCTAAGTTTGCTCAACTTCTAGAGGAGAGAGTTTTACAATGGAATTTTAGGGTAACACTTCCCTGTCTACCTCTATTTATGATGAAGCTCTGTGGAAGGCAGAGCTATTGCTGCCAACCCCAGGATTGTTCGGGACTACCGACCCACGGACAGCTGCATCTTTGCACACTCCATAGAGTGTCTGTAGGTACCACCAAAGGAGATAGAGAGCTAAAGTGAAGGACCGCTCCATAGAGCATCTGTGTCTACTATAGCAGGAGATTCAGAGCTAAACTGGAGGACCATTCCATAAAGCGTCTGTTCCTATTACAGTAGGAGAAGGAGAGCTCAACTGAAGGAACGCTCCATAGAGCATCTGTACATGCCTCCGTAGGAGATACAGAGCTAAAATAGAACTGGGGAGATCCTATTCAAGGAAATTTATCCCATACCTTTAGATGAGAATCTCAAGAGCTATTTCTCATGAGGATGCATTTCATATATCATGGGTTGTTTCTCTTTCTCCTCTCTTCCCTTTCCGTCTCCCCCTTCTTCTTCCATTCCTCCCTCCTTCACTCCCTTCCTTCCTCTCTCTGTGACTCTCTTTCTTTCTCTCCTCCTCTTTCTCTTATTCTCCCCCTACCTCATTCTCTCTCCCCTTCTCTCCCTGCTCCCTCTTTCTCCTATCCTTCACTCTTTCTTGCAGGACCCAAAGCAGCTATGGAGTATTCACAGGGAAAAGGCCCCTACTGTCTAGTCTAAGAACAAACTTTTAGTTAAGAACATCTATGCACAGAAGTTGGAAATTTCTTGTAGCCCACCAGGTAGATGAACCATTTCAACACATTTGGACTTTGCTTGATACTTTAACTCTCAACAATGGAATGGGACACACAGCTGCAATGACACACCACTTGGTGTGGCTGGCACGCCCTTGTCAGTGCCAGCTGGAGATTTCTTCACACCCCTGGGTAAAGCATCCAGACTGTTCAGATCCTGATGCAGGAATCCAGTGATCCTCCTCTGACAAACCACAGAAAAATGTCTGAGTCATATATGAAGATCAGAACTATTCAGACATGGCTACAGCCCAAATGGAAGGGCTTGGAAGCAAATGCAGACTTTTTCAAGGCTAGGGGTCAAACAGGTCCTTAGGTGAGCCGGGCCAAGTACCTACACCTCACCTCTCCAACCAGAAATTCACTTATAATTAGTTTAAATGAGAATTAGACAAATTAAGATCAATTGAATTCTTTCTGAGCAAAAGAGTCATGTGTTATGCTTTGATATCTACTAATGATATCCCTTCTTGGATTGCAGAAATAATTTCAAAATGAAGACTGCTTTAATTTTGCTCAGCATTTTGGGAATGGCTTGTGCTTTCTCAGTAAGTTCATTGTGGGAAAAAAAACCTGTATTTTTGGCAGTTGCATTGTAATGTAAACACGGCATGTACTAATAAAAGGTTCTTTTGGGCAGATGAAGAATTTCCACCGAAGAGTCAAAGCTGAAGATTCTGAAGAAAACGGGGTGAGTAATTTCAGAACATTTCTCTGGGCTACACTTACTCTAACATAACTGCACACTGCGTATGATAACATGCCTTTCATTTGTGCAGGTCTTTAAGTACCGGCCACGCTATTTTCTTTACAAACATGCCTACTTCTACCCTCCTCTAAAGCGCCTTCCAGCCCAGGTAAGCGTAAACTTTCCTTTCTGCTCCTTGTACTTTTATTGTGGGGATCAGATTTGACATCCAGATATCTGGATCGCAGCCAGAGGGACCTCAGGCTATAGTAACTTGATTTTCCTAAGCTCTCTCACAAGAGACAAAGCACGCAGACTGAAAACACTGGGGTAACAGAAACCAGTGCCCTGGCATCTAGAGTTCAAGTGTTCAGCTAATCTGCTGATAATAGTGAACCATTTTGTCACCTACTGACAAGAACTGGTAAGATCACCAATTGTCATGATGGTTGGCTCAGTATTGCCATCCAGTTGTTCACATCGGGTGTTTCAGCATCCCCCGAGCTCTCAAAAAGCTAAGTTCATAATCACTCAGGTCTCCGGACAACCAGTAGTTTTAGAAACTCTTTTGCAGCAATGGTGTTGTCTGGAACCTTTACCCTGTTAGATGGCAGAGCTGTGAGTGTCTCATGGAGCACAATTACACTAGGATCTGGCCCAAGCTCTGCAGGGCAAAGAGAGAGACTTGGTAAATGTAGGAAGCCTGTGAGGAAAAAAAAATCAGTAAAATTTGTAAACACGAAGGAAAAATAATTAAAGCTAAAAATGAGACATCCCATTTTGCTGGGCTGTTTGTGAAAGAGGCCTTTGGATACTGGAGGGTGTGGTGCTGGTTCTAAATACACACACAAAACCTAGCATGACACTATTTTCGTGACTGTACTGTTTGGGTTCAGAGCATCAATTATGCACCATTTGACCCAGGACTCTTCAGTCACTGAAAGCAACAGGACCCCGAGAATGCTGCCTCCATGCAGCAAACTGGGCCCTGAGTCTCACAGTGTGTCACGCTAAGCCCTCTCCAGCTCATGCCATGATAGGAAATCATAACCCTCAAACATTTCCATTCTCACATATCAGGCTGACCCCTCTCCAGCTCATGCCATGATAGGAAATCATAACCCTCAAGTATTTCTAGCTCCATTATAATTATAGGGAACTTGTGTGGCTGCAGAACTGTGAGCATGAATGGTACAAGGGCTGTGGGTTTTCAGAATTGTTCTGCTCTCTTTGGTTCACCTCAGGCCCAGAAATAAACAGGATCCATTTGGAGATCTGCTCCCTTTCTAAAAGAGAAGTGATATAAATTCTAGTTCTTAAGTATTTGGCCAACTTTTCGGGAATATCTAATATTTAGATACAACCATTTCCATCTAGATTTTTTTATAGACACATGTGATCTAACTAAAAAAGCCTGTAGAATGCTAATATTGGTATGGTGACAGTTTTCTTTTTATTATTGATAGACTCAAAGTCCTTAGGAGTCATATATGCTTTTTTATCACAAATTATAACATAATGGCTTGATCGAGTTAAGTAGAATTTGTAAGGTAGTTGTTTTAAAATAAGAAATAAAACATCTCCCAATGTAACTTTCTGAGATATTTGTGGCAATTTCCTGTTTTACAAAGTTTGATTTCTATCTGATGTCAATGTCTATTTATTGTCCAAAGCTGTCATCCTGACCCCATGAGTTACATTCTATTGACTCTGAAATTCATGTTTTAGTTACCAAGTCTGCTTCTGGGAAGCCATCCATAAAATAGGAACTTCTGTGTAGTGCATCAGATGGGTTGCAAAGCCACCAGCAAGTCTCTATCCTGGCAATGCCACCAGAAAGTCTACTATAGATTATCTCTATCCTGGACTACAGAAACAAAAGTATAAATCAGTTTAATTACTATCTTAAGCTGTTTTAATGGAAAGCTACATTTTATGATTAGGATAATATTTGATTAGTGTGCCAACTTGTAGCAAACAAGATTCAATTTTATTTATTTTTTATCACATTCAGCTAGCACACAAATGTGGGTTTTCAGAACTGCCTTCCATTAAGACACCAGTTCATCTGCCTTTTACCAACCCATGATCCCTCATGTGTCTATATAAATGAAAGACTCTGGAAGGATTCCTAAGAGTTTGTAATAAATTGGTAATAAGCCAAAGAAAGGAAAGTGATTCAAAACAATAACAAAATAAAGTGCAAAACTTTAAGGTATTCCATGCAGCCTTGCCATGTTTCCAACACACACTAGTGGTAGAAAGTTAACTGAGTTATGGAGGGAATTGGAGTGAAGGAAGCTTGAAAAATACCCAACAAACTCCCAGCTGAGAAAAACAGCTCTGCTTAGATAAATATATGGTCCTCTATATTTGGTTTAATAAGGGGAAATAACTCAAATATAATGATTAGTTTTACTCTCCCCCGGGTGTGGAATAGCACAAGCACTAGGTCATGGCAGTGTAGGGAGGGTCTGATTCTTTTTCCACCTAGAGTTATTATTGGCTGAAGACAGCAAGTATTTCCTTTCCTGGCTGGGTGACATGGCCACCAGGAGAAAGAGTCCAGCAGGGACTGCCATGAACAGTACAGGGATGCGTCTTTTCTACAGTCTTATTCCTAACCTAGAATTTGCAGATCCTTCTAAGTCGTGTTCTCCCAGGACAGGATGCTTCACTGATCATCAGAATCAGAGCTAACACTGATAGGCAGGAAATGGCAGGCTCTGAAGCTAGGTGTGCATGGATCCTCGAGGTGGTGGGGATGGTGAGGAATATGAAGGGAGATTCCCTTTCGGCTTCTTTGGTAGAAAGATCAAGAATCTCCTCTCTTAGAAGCTCTGATGCATGTTTAGATTGACATATAATTAAAAAATAAGAAGAATGCTCAGAATTAGGACATGTCTAATGTGTAGAGCATTTGCCCTGAGTTTGATCCACAGCACCGTAAGGATATAACTAAACAATATAAAGGCAACAATGATGAAGAGCCCAGTAAAGTTCATTGACTCATGTTTTGTACGTAGGCTCCTTGGTTCACTTTATTATCACCCCGCCAAATCGTAAGTGCTTTTATATCTTTTATATAATTTAACTGTGTATATATTAATTAGTACAATATAAAAATTAGTTTTAATTCAATCGAATCTTGGAATATAAATTCAGTTTCTATAAATCAAATTATAATTTAGATTGTAGTGTGTAAGAGAATTATCAAATAACAGTTTATACTTTGTAGTAAGCTAAATCATTATCACCTACATTTTGTAAGAAAATCAGACTATGACATCTATGTTCTAGTCAAAGACCTGCTTAGGAGCGGGTGAGAAAAATCACTCTTTTTGAATGGTTTCTTTTTGGAGTAGTCCCTTCATTCCTTCAGAACTAATCAATTTGCGATTTCTTATTCTGGTTTTTACATAGCATGCGATAGCTCAGCATATTGTCTGTTTGAGGGATTGGAAGTGAGCAACCTCATTCATATGCTGCTCATTTTAAAGCAACTGCTTCACTGCCCTCATTTCCCATATGCCCAAGTGTACCCACATCTCATTGACTTAGCTTGACACTATTCTGTGTTAATAAACCAACCAATGCGGTAATATGTGTAAGTAAATATCTCTGTGTGTTACATTTTAATCATCAGGAAATTTTAATTGTTGTGGAGTATATATTTATGCTTCATATGTGTATCTATATGTACATGTGCACACATACTATGTATCTGCATATATGTATGTTTTAGGGAGGCAGTGACTCTTCTGAAGAAAATGGAGATGGGGATAGTTCGGACGAGGAAGGGGAAGAGGTAAGACATTTTCTATTTCTTCCATAACAAGCCAGGCAACACAAGGAACTAATAGCAATCTAGACTCAGCAAATAGCCATTACTTCCTTGCCAGCTACCCATAACCAGCTTTTTTTGGACGAATGGAATGTGATTTAAGTTAGAAGCAACTAAAATAACCTGCTTATTACACCACTGCAATGTGGGGTTAAAGTTGCCTAGATGTGGCACACAGGAACAAAGGTGTCTGCATTTTAAGGGAAGTGTAAAGCCCACTAAAACGCAGCACAGAGTTTGTTTATATTGGATGCCTCTGATAGTAGGCAAGAGAGAAGTAAGCCTAAGCTTGGTGTGATGCCCTTTCCTTAGTGACCAGGATGTGAAGCCAACTGGTGCCTCTACAGTGTCCTGACTTAATCTGTAGAATAAGATCAATCTCTTTAATAGGAATTCAATAGATTTTTATCTAATTATTAGATTACAGAAACTAAAATACTCAAGATGTATAAATGTCTTCCTAAACAGTTCAATTACTGTAATAAATGGCTAAAATTTATTTAAATAGCTTGGAAATCATGATATTATGTTTATAACTGACATCTTGCCTATGGAAACATACTATTAGGATCTATATTCCTGGATTTCTAATCATAGCTATCCCTGGCTTGAGAACATTCTAAATTCAGGTATTCCTAGGTGCTATTTATGAATAGAAAATGACAGACAAAAATGGATCATCTGTGTCATCTATCCTGAAGGCAGATGTGGCAGCTCATACAGTGAGCAAGTATTTGTTTTTTCCTTTCGATTAAGTAACATCTCCTGTGCTGTAGTCACACTGACAGTGGAGGAAAGCTCTTAAAAATCTTGCCAAGCCAGGACCAGAAACCACGTGTGCCCTACACCCTTCAAAATCCTGCTGCAGCTCAGTCATGCTCTGAAACTAATGGAGACTCATCCACTCTGTGCCCCCTGCTGTAGTTCCTCATACTGCCTAGCATAATTCAGACGCATATATGATGCCCAGGAAATAGCTGCTTTGAGAGGTCAGAGGAATAGTGCTCCAAAGATCATCCACAGTGACCAAGGAAACGGGGGTGGGTTCAGGAATCTTCCACCTGCGAGATTCTAGGCATGCTTTCAACTCCATTTCGTCTTTAAAATTGAATTGCCGGTTCCACTTAGGTAACAAACCCCAGGGGCTGTGTTCACCTGAGGAAACAACTTGGGCACACTTTCTATTTGATGATATTGATGATAACATCCCCGCCCCCCGCACACCGTAAAGTATTTCACACTTGCTTAATGGAAACATACATGATAAAATCATATGTCAGAAACTGGACATATAAGTAAAATCAGCACTAATATAAAAAAATAGCACATGCCAATTATTCATTAACCAGCTCCCACCATTGACTACCATGAGTTTGACTTCAATTGAATAGGTTAATTTCTGCTTGTTTTCATATACATACTTTATATATTTTACATATATTATACATATTCTGTATATAGGATGACATAGTGTACGTTCTTTTGTAAGAGGCTTCCGTTGTTCCGACCTTCGGAGATGCTTCCATGTGATCCTGTCCTCACTGAGGACACAGGCTTCCTGTCGGCATTTCATTCTATCAATGTACTGCATGACTCACCTGAAAATGGGCATGTTGGTAGTTTCCAAATTAGGATTGCTACAAAGGTGTTGCTGCTGGGAACATTCTACAACTTCAAGTGACTACACATATCCATTTGAGGAGGCTATTTTACTTAAAAGTGTAGCTTCTGAGTAAACAATGATGTGTATATGTTCAGCTTCGCTAAAGGCTTTCCAAAGTAGGGGCGGTCAGGCAAAGCCCGCTCTCTGCAGACAAAGCTTCTACTACTCCCCGTTCTCACCAACACCTGTTTGTTTTATTTATTTTGACCATTCTATAGGGTCATGGATAAGATATTTGAAGCCTAACAGTCCAAGTCATGGATAAGATATTTGAAGCCAACAGTCCAAGTCATTTCCTTTTTAATTTGTTTGAACATGAACATTCTGAAATTAAGTTTCTGGGCCAAGAAAAGATCTAAGAGGAACAACTGTACACGTTAGGAGATTGGCCACTCTTCAGTCTTGACCCTGCCACCAATGAATTTCCATGAATTATCTTTCATTTGACTTTATACAAACCACAGTATCACTACACATCAGTTTTCCGTCAATAAAATGAGGGAACAAGGGCCAGCTAACATGGCCTCCTAGAATTTTTCCAGTGATACCAATAATTTCTCCTTATCCCACTAAAAAGTTTAATTTGCTTGAATGACTCATTAAAAAACCAGACTGTACACCACACCTGAGGTATCGGGCACCTAGCTTGGAAGACGGACTTGGGTTGTGTCAAACCCTTCACTGCAGCTGTAGCCCTCACAAACTGAATGAGAAAAATCCTGCTTTAGTCAATTCTTTTTCATAAGAAAGATCAAACTCAGATTCAATTTGTTTTCCTGAGATCTTAACATTAGCCCACATATCTCTCAGAAATACCTTTCAAGTAAATTCAACTGCCCAGGACTTACTTAAATACATCAATTTAAACATATGAAATCCAGACTTTAACTAGTAGGTATTAATTTTACTACTACATTAGTTCAATTTACCTACTATGATCTCACAGCCTAGATAAAAGAATAAAATAAAGATTATAATGTTCATTTGTTCAAGAGTCTTAGTTTGCCATCATCTTCGTATAGTAGCATCATACACTACTATAAATTTCGTGTACAGAAGAAACAGTTGTGCACCCGGCATTTCAAGCACATGGACTGTTAAGCTGATAAGACAGAAAGCATAAATAACTGAAGCACCCCACCAGCAGATAAGTAGGAGCAAGTAATGCTGAGTTCCTAGAAATAAGACGGGGAAAGGCACACGGGGAGGCAGCTGATGAGCCAGCTGAGGGCATTTCCAAACAGTGCCTCACAGACCCGACAAATCTTGAGCTCTCTTCCAGTTAGAGTAAATTCTGAACTCTGGACATTTTCACCAGGAGAATTCAAATGAAGAGGAGAACGCTGAAGGTTCTGAGGCGAATGAAGAGGAGGAGGCAGAGGCCGAGAACTCCACCCTCTCTAGTGTAACTCCACTCTATGGAGCCGAGGCCACCCCTGAAGCAGAGACTGTAGGACTCGCTGCGCTGCAACTGCCCAAGAAGGTAAGGAGTCCCAAACGTTGATCTGTTTTCATCTCTCTGCTGATGTCCAGGGTTCGCTGACACCATCCACATCATATTTGATATCATCTTTACTTATATTATTACCCCGTTAAAGAAGCAAGCATAGAAACACTTTCCCCGATTACAAATGAGGAGTGATACTCTGTAAATTTCTTTCCCATGCTATTAGACCACCCCACTTTAGAGGTGCGACTTCCAAGGCAGAAAAAGTGGGGGTCAGAGCTAGAAGCAAGGCACACAGGGTAGACTTATGGATTGCACACCCCACCCCAACGAAACCCATTACAAAGGTATCTATTCTGAATTTTTTAAAGCCTCAACCAATTCTTTCACAAATTAAGTTATCTTTAACTTGAAACAGCATCCGTAAGAAGATCATCAGTAGAGAAGTTCTCAGTTTTTCCCAGCTAGATTTGGATGATTTCAAGCTTTCCCTTTTAGGCTGGAGACGCAGAAAGCAAGGCTGCAAAAAAGAAGGAAAGCGATGAAGAAGAAGAAGAAGAAGAGGAAGAGGAGGAAAATGAAAACGAGGAGGCAGAAGTCGAGGAAAACGAGCAGGTTGTCAACGGCACCAGCACGAACTCCACGGAGGTGGACGGTGTCAACGGCAGTAGCGGAGGGGACAATGCAGAAGACGGTGAGGGACAAAGCGTCACGGAAGCGGTTGTAGAAGGAGCCACAACGGGCAGGGAACCGATCAGTGATGGCCCCACGACTGCTGTCCTTCCGAAGGCGCTTCAGCGTACGACCCCACCACTCGAAGCCTACGGGACCTCCTCCCCACCACTCAGTAAAACCACCGCTGAGTATTGGGGAGAATATGAACAAACGGGCAACAATGAGAACGACAGTGAGTATCAAGTGTACGAAAATGAGAACGGAGAGCCTCGCGGGGACAATTACCGGGCCTATGAGGACGAATACAGCTACTACAAGGGGCGTGGCTATGAAGGCTACGATGGTCAAGATTATTACTACCATCAGTGAAGCCGCACCCTTGGGGTGAATTCCCCATTCTGTCATTGCATCTGGCTACCATTTATTTTCAAAGTTCAACTCAGGAAGGTGCAATATATCAAATGTTCATTTTACAATGTGGAATGGTGCTATAATCCCAGAGTGATTTCTGCAAATGCTTCTATTTGGAATGGCTTCTTTTGCATTCTCCCAGGTGTGTCATTGTAAGTCAGGGCCGTTGATCGAGCAGTACACTGATGTCTGAGCTGGGCCTAGCTGGAATGCTTCCTGTTTGTGCTGTGTGCACTATTGTTAATGGCCCAAACACACTCTTTGTACAAGAAGGCAACTAGAGAGAGATTTATGAACGATACTGTATACAGTAATTGTGTACTTCCTATATCACACTTCCTATCTAATACTGTATTAGGTTTAATTCTCATCCTCATGTATATTATGTGACCTGTATGCACAGATTTTATCGCAAATAAACATGCAATTCTTCACATGTGTTATAATTAAGAAGAAATGGGGAGCATCAGAAAGCACGTGGGTTTAAGAAGGGTGGAACCATTCAGATAAAAAAACAAGCTTATTTCCATTAGGGTTTAAAACTCAGAGGACCTGGAAACATTCTGTCTTCAGTCAGTCTGCACAGCTAAGGTTTGACGGTGGAGAGCAGAATCAGCCATATATACACCAGGGAACAAATGACTCTCAGAGCTGCCAGATTTAACAAACACGAATACATGTAAGATGTCCACTTCAATTTGAATTTCAGATAAATACAATTGTTTTTTTTAAAGAAAAAAACAAGTGCCCCCCGTGAACAATTAGTCTCTGTGAAATATCTGGAACGTACTTATGCTAAATAAATGACTCATTCTTTATCTAATATTCAGTTGTGACTGGGTGTCCTATGTTTTTCTGGTAAGCTTATCCTTACAAAATTTGATTTTAAATAGGGAAAGTCATAACTTGGGGTAATTAAACTATTACACAACACACATGCAAACACACAAACTACAAAAAATGCACATGCAAACACCTACACAAACCACACACATATATACATGTAAACGCACACTCAAACTGCACACACACACACACACACACACAGACCACACACACAATTAGTGTACAAAGTCTTGACAGCAACTGACTCCTTAATAAGAACCTAAAAATAAACTTCAAGTAAGCATATAGACATTTGGAAGAAGCACGATAACAATAATTGACGTGTCTTTTAATTTATACTCTATAAAACATATGAGCCCACATAGTCAATGTTAGACATCCAGAACATGAAAATGTAGAACCTCATCGGAAAGACTTCAGTTTGGGTGCGGTCAGTTCCATTATCACCGGCTCATGAACCTTGGCGGAAAAGTCCCTGACATAAGAGGCCTATCGGTGGGCACCCTCCATACACCCGGCACCTGGCTCACTGCCTTCCTTTCTTTTTCTGTTGCTGTGATAAAGTGCCAGCTAAAAGACATCTTAATGGGAAAGGTGTTTATTTCAGCTCACAGTTCCAGGGTACCAGTCATCCCTCATGGCAGAGAAGCTGAGGCAGCTGCAGTTTAATCCAGCAGGTCACATGGTATCCACAATCAGCCAATAGTGACGAGTGCACACTGCAGTTCAGTTCCTTTTCTCCAGCAGTGGAGTCTGGGATTCCAGCCAGGGAATGGCGCCACCCACAGTGGGAGGGACTTCCTGTCTCAGTTAAAATGAAGATAGTCCCCACAGGCCCGTTCAGAGAGTCATCTCCTAGGGGGTTTGGAATTTTTTCAGGTTGACGGTTAACACTAAACATTAAACTCATGACTGGTTAACGGTCTGCCACATTTATTCTCATCATCCCCCGTTCGTGTGTGTGTGTGTGTGTGTGTGTGTGTGTGTGTGTGTGTGTGTTATGCATGCAACTCTTTGTAAAACTGCTGAAGAGGAGTTTGTAGAGATCATGAAGATTCATCAATATTTCAATATTTATTTTAAGAAGAATTAGCCAGGAAGGGTGGTATATGCCTGTAATCCTAGTGTCCAGAAGGCTGATGCAATAGGATGGCAGCTTCCTGGCCAACATGGTCTGCATGGTGAGATTCTTCTCTACTCTCCTTCCCCCACCTAACAGTGATTTACCCTGTATAAGCATAATTCTACTTCCATTCTCAGGAATTTTAACATATGCAAGAATATATTATACTATTCTAAATGAATCACTCATAAACATCTTCAGTTTCCGATTTGTTATCATCTTCAACTTCATCGGTGAACAATTGCCCCAAACAAATAACACACGGCCAGGCAGGGTTAGACAGTGCCAGGCTGGCTTAGACTCTGTGCCCTTTACCATTATACAGCACTCACTGTCTTGTGGGCATCGACAGTGGATGGGCAGGGCATCTCTAGTGCTAGCCACACTGCTGAAAGATATGCCTTGTTCTACATCACAGTTTGCTTAGAACCAACCAGGGTTCATAACTTGAGTGTTGAACAACATCTTCAGAGCCAGGATTCTCTCCTGAAGGTTTATCTTGCTATAGAGGCAGCTGGATATGGTACAGAGCTCATGAACTCTGGAGGCAGAGGCTCTGGTCTTACTGGGTAATTTACCCCCATGTGTTGTTAACTCCTCCCAGGAGTTAACCACTACTGCTCAGTGAGACACACCTAAAGGACTCAGAACCGGCCCATCTCTCCTCTCTCCTCTTTAGAGGCTGCACTTTAGCTTCAGAAGCCTCCATCTCTTTTCCTTCCTGGAGTCTCACCTTCCACATTCTGTCTGTCTGTTGAGAGGTTTCCTTCTTGGCTGTAGAATTCCACTGACCCCTCAGTCCTAGACTTCAGGGTATCTTTTGTTTGTTTGTTTAGCTATTTATTTTACATTTTGAAGTTAGTAGGAAGCCAAGTCACCTTAGTCATTATGCTTTCCAAAATAACTCAGTTTTCTGGTAAATTGTATAATTCGTGGGTTTCATTTCTCCACTCCTACTGAAATGTAACCTTCCAGGACTGCATACTCTTGGACCTGATTGGGGTGTCATGGTTACCAAACACCAGAATGCTTTGTAACAGTCCTATGATGAAGCTGAAGCTGTTAGATTGACACACTCCATTTAACTTGGATCCACAAGCAGAGAGACATAGGCTCAAATGGAGTTGGACAGTTTGTTACTCATACAGAGAACACACAGGAGAATACGTCAGTTCTCGGTGTTCCTAGCATTACAAGACAATACTAAACCAGAGGTGACAGGTGACAGAGGGTACAACAGTCTGCCCTTGAGGGACTGGCTTTGATCAGCGTTGAGCAGATGGACTGTACAGAGGAGCAAGTTGAATGCTGAGGAGAAAAGTTGAAAAATTTTTACTCAGCTGAAACTTGGAGAAAGGTAGGCAGGCATGACAGGGTACACAGGGCAGGGAGGACAGACAGGCAGGTAGGCAGCCAGCCAGGCAGTCAGAAGCCAGGCAGGCAGGGCAGGACAGGCAGAATGTGAGTTGATGACCTGAGAATATTAATAGGACCACAAAGTAGCTGCTTCTAAAAGACGGATCGGTCCCCTCTCTGTGATAGACCTCTATCCCTCTGCTACTTTCCAGTCTTTCCAAGTTTCATCAACCCATGTCTCAGTCAAGTGTCCCACATGTCAGTCCAGGTTTAGGCTGTGGAGAAGACAAAACATTTCTCTATGGTTTCGTTTACTGCTGTAATATAAACTCTACACCTGCACCTTTCCAGGCTGGTGCTGATTTCCGGCACACTTGCTTGTTCATAATATTCCACCCTTGAAGAACTTTAACTTTGACTTTCAAAATAAGTCTTGAGATAATATGTTAAATAGCAACCGCTAACTAGAACAGAAACTGGCAGAATGACCCTGGGTCCCCAGGAGTTAAGGAGGTCACTGAAGAAGAGCTGAAATAACACAATGCAAACGAGCCAGCTTATACGACGGAGAAAACTAGACATGCCCCGATATAGTAAGCCGATGTCAATATGTGTCCCCTGAAAGCCACATTCTGCCTCCTGTGGGCTCACAACGCAGAGCAGCAGCCCCTGGAAGGAATCCTATTCTGAGAATGAGCAGCGTTGTCCCCTCCAGGCCACGGATCAGAGCTTTGTAGCCACTTCCAGCAATGTCACCATGTCCTGGAGGAAAGGCTGGTGTCAGGATAATTACATTCTAACTACACCCTCTGAGTCATCATCCTAAGTTGTAATAGAACTTCCTTCTAATATAAAAATAAAGGTAATAGCCAAAAGGGTGTGCGGTGTGGACAGACAGACACAAGTAGCACCTGCTGCTCTGTGGCACTCCATGGTGCTGCACTTGTGAGAAATGCCCAATGCTGAGGGAAGATAATGCTTCCTAAAGATAAAAATCATTTGGAGGAAAATGAGAAGTGGACGGTCAGCGATGTTTTAGAGAGCAACATTTTTGTAGCTTAGGATGAATATTGATACTTACGAATGAGTATATTTAAAATAAACACACCTTATTCTTCTGAAACAGAACAAGATTTCCAGGATTAATTTATAAGCAAAACTTTTAGGACAAATTTATTTGCTCATTTGTTTTAAAGTTAGCAAAGAGGACAGGTTCCAAGAGAACAGAAACAAAGTGTCCGTCTCCCGGGACACTCACACTAACCACTCAGCGGCCTCTTCCCAGAATGTCACCCTCCAAACGTCTAGCTGGAAAGGGGTCTCACTATTTTTGCTCTTGTCAATTGTAGGTTCTAAGTTTAAGACTTAAGTTGAATGTTTTTTCTTTGAATTCATTTCAGCTCTGAGAACATGTATATTTAGCTCCATTCAGTCGGCTCCTTGGTAGGACAAGGAGTTGCTTCTTAAGTCTGAAAAAATTCTATGAATTTTCTTCTTCTAGAACTCACACACTTTCAGACCAGATAAATATAAATATATGATATACCTCATATATATATATATATGTATATATATATAAATTAATTTAATAGGCAATCACTTTCATAGATAGGAATTCTTTTGAAAGGAAGAAAAACAAAGGAAAAATACATTTGTATCCATATGAAATTCTTATAAGACTATGGCAATGAAAAGCCATTCGATGTCTATATTGTATATGAGGCTCAAACAAAATCTGTGTGAATCGTTGAAGCTATGAACATTGCAAAAGCGTGAGATACTGCAGAGCCTGTCAACTGTCAAATTTGCTGACTTGATCACGGACTTAATAGAATATCTAAGCTGCAAATGAGCATTTTTACCTCTCTTCCTCCCCCCCCCGTTTCTACCATTTGTGTTTTGGTTCACTTCTGCTTATTGCTTTTCTTTTTTGGCTTCCATCTCCTTATCAGTTTTGTCCCTTGTCACCTAGATTGTCAGCACCGATGAAACTGGTGTCCCAGCTGTGTATAACGTCTAGAGAAATACATCCTCTGGTCCTTAAACCTCTGTTCTGCCATTTCCCTCTCTGATTTTGTGTGTCCATTAGATAAACCACAGAAGACTTTTGTCAGGAAACTAACAGGCGACGGGGCAGAAGCACCTGCTCCTCCTGGGTCCCAGACAGTTGTCAGTAACAGGAGCAATGTGTGGGACAGGCATAAAGACAGCGGGCTAAGCACCTTGTAGAATTTGGTGGTGTTCATCCTGACATTGTGTGTCAGTATAGCACCCTGGCCTTCATTAGCCAAATTTCCTATGCTATTTCTGGCTTTTCTATTTGCTGATTATGTGACCTGGGAAAAACCCCAAATCACTTTGTCTCATCACTAAAAACTATGATGATAATAATTATCTACATCACAGTTGTCGCCAGGATTTGATTAGTTAGAATGGTGCTTGGATGGAGGAAAGGAGACCAAAAAAATTTCAATTTCATTGTTTGAGCAATTTCTCACTAAAAACCATAATGGAACTGGGCTTGAACGTAGGTGTGTTTCAGTCCATGACTATGAGGGTTAAAGGTCTCCACTGTCAACGATAGTGATCAAATATTCAAAAGTTCAGTTAGATGGCTTCAAATGAACTGTTGTTCTCTTCACACACAAGTCTTTAAAAGCAACTCAGGATCCTTGGGAAAAAGTCATAGAACTTTTACAAAGCAAGAAGAATGTGGCCTAAATTAGAAAAACCATCATTGTCTAAACCAAAGCTGTGTTAAGGATATACTGCTCATTTTTTTTCCTTTTTCTCATTATTTTTTATTTTATTTTTTGCCTATTTGAGTTCGGGGAAATCAGAGACTTGTATATAAAATTTATTACATGTTATTTATAATTGATTATAAAGTTGTATTTATGCATAAGTAGCTCTTATCGTAAAGTATAAGTCTAAGAACTTACATAATCTTTTACTGGAATATTTACACATAAACCTAATATGGGTCATCCCACGAGGCGTTACTATATTTTTAGATCAAATAAAACCTCCCTGACTATTATGAACATGAATTACAGTTTGATTTTAGCTGCTACCACCAAGGAAAGAAAGAACGAGCTCAGTGTCCGGAAAGGAAGAACAGACTCAATGTCCTAACCATTTAAGAGAAATCTTCATCCAAATTAAAACCACAACACATCCTTCAAAAGTATCTTCTGAATATTTTCCCATTTCAATAAAAAGCAACTTCGTTTTTCCTATTACATGGCAAAATCATCCTGCAGTCTGAGTCTCCTGGCGAGCTTTTTCCCTGGTGCGAGCTTCCCCTGGTGCTAACTTTCCCCAAGCAGCCAGTCCTATTGGCTTTCCGCAGAGGCCATGCTGAATATGCCCGCCTTTCCTCGCTCCTCTACCTCTGCTTGCCTGGAGACCCCGTGGCCTTTTGATCACTGCAGGAACTCTGAGCTGCTTACTCTACTCCATCCCGACTTCACGCCTTCAGTCTCAGCTCTGCTCAAAACCTCCAGTGGCGTTCTTGACTTGGAATTAAATTAAATTAATAATTAATTAAATTTCACCTATTTATTTCTATTTAGTAGTGCTGAGACTGAATCCAAGGTCCTATGCAGAGTAGGCAAGCCCCTCTACGTCACAGCTCCCAACCAACCCTGAAAGGCTTTACCTCTTAGGGCAAAGCACACAGACCTGCAGGTCCTTAGTCTTTGCTATTTAATTCCTGTCTCACTTTATTTGCTGTTGTTTCCCTTGCTCAGTTTCTCCAGCTAAGTGGCTTCTTTGCATCTAATTGACTTCTGGAAATAGCCAGCAGGCGCCTGTTCCAGAGCTGGATCTTCCTAGACCTTCTGTCTGGAATGTGCTCCTATGGAAAGTCATGCGGTTGCTTACTCGGACTGTAACAGACTACCTCACACTTGGTATCTAAAGAGAACAAAAGTTGGCATCTCACTGTGCTGATTTCTTGTGGCTTTGGAGGTTTGGGAAGCTTAAGATAAAGAAGGTGCTGGAAGGTTCACTGTGGGGTGGAAGATAATTTTACCACCATCCAGCACGGTGTCTTGTGACTTCCTCCTGGGGGTGTGGTGAGGAGGATAGTCGTGTGTTCACGTGACAGACAGGAGGACTGAGAAGGTCGAGGTCATTTCCTTCAGTCCTTTACTCTCACTCAGCAAAGTTCTCACCTGATAACTTAGACTCTAAAGCTCTATCTTATCTCATGGGAGTTTTAGTTCCTCGGTACAAATTTTGGAGCACAACACACATTTGAGTCATATCAAAGACTTTACTCAAAAGTCACATTTGCAGTGAGGACCTCTGAGGATGCTCTACGTAAAATTTCAGTCCCGTCTCCTTCCTCCCAGTGCTAGAGATCACCCCCTACAGTGTTCCACTTCAAACTTCATCCATGACACCATCTTATGGAACGTGGTTTGTTGTCTGATTCCTTCTTCAGGTGGTGAATCCCATGAGACAGGATGAGTTTCTGTTTCATCCACTGAGGCTTCTCCAATGCCTGCCATGGAATAGACACTCAGAACAGTTGTTAACTGATTCTGAATCCCATTCAGACACAACGAAAACTACAAATTTACTTAATAAAATGCCTTCCATTTGTAAATTTTTTGGTTTACAAATATTTTCTATTTATAAATATGCAAGCTATCCACCCAGTCCTAGTTAATAGTTCTGAAATCAATTTTAATTATCTGGCAGCATAATGTCCAAACTGTGATATTTATAATTTTCTGTTTATTCTACTCTCTGGAACATTTGATAGCAGCTTTTCACCACAAGAACATTTTTAGATTAAAATTACCTTGCCCCCTGTGGTCATCCGTGGGCACTTATGACAGACTCCTCATTGGCGCTGAGTGGGCCATGCTGATTGGACACTGGGGGGCTCTAACAAACTTTAAATTTCAGCAAATGCCCAGGGACTGCTAAACCTGAAGAAGCCGAGCTTTGCCAAAGGTCAATGACACCAGGTAACTTGTCTCTCACTGCTCCTCCCAGAGAATTGCTTGCTATCAAAAGTGCTTGCTTAAGTTTGCAGTTTCCTCGCCATCCTGGTCTGGTTAATTGAAAACAAGTGCATCTGGGACTATTCTCAGCTGAGCGTCGGTGTCTAAATTCAGTGCTTTTTTTCCATACGATAGGTGAGGTGCTAGACATCATTAACTCAACTCCACGTCTTGGCAGAAAATTGGCCTGAGGGCTGACTGTCATTATCCATGGTATAATGGTATCCATGTCAAATCCATGGTAACTGGTAGCTGTACACCATCTGAGAACCCAGACACAGGAGAAGCCAGCCGTCCTTCTATTTACAAACACTGCACTGATGCATCTACCGTCAATGAGCTACTTGATAAATGTGTAGCCTGTCCTTATCCACAGGCTTAGAAGCCAAAATTATAGCTTGAATGTCGATTTAGATCCTTAAGATAACATTAAGTTAGAAGACTATAAAATAGGATTTTGCATTATATCTTGGTTGCATTATTCTGTTGAGTATGTTTTTACTATGAAATGTTTGAATGTTGTAAGAACATTGAAAATACTTTGCCCATAAAAGTACTTTCTTCCAACAAATCATATTATTCTCATATCAGCTGTTACATATTTATGTGTCAGTAAAATATTTAATGTTCATCAAGACCAACAGATTGCTCTCTAGAGCCGTACTGGTAAGTTTTCATTGTGATTGCTCCTTGAGTTAGCTGAGCTCACCAGGTCCTAGTGCAATATCTGTCACACTGTACACATGTGCTTTACTCTGTAACTAAATGCTAGGGCTCCAAAGATTATTCTATTGAAATTTATACAACATAGGGTCTTTTTTAAGTTGACTTATGTGGCTTTTATTAAATTGGATGGAAGGAATCTTACTTGAGGTGGCATAGAGTTCCGGTTAGGAGTGCCAGTTCTGTAGCTACTGTGAAAGAATGCCAACCCCAGTTCTGCTCTACAGTAGTCATTTCTGAGTCTGCTTCCTCCTCCATATAACTGATAAAGCCACCTGGCTCATAATTTTGTTGTGGAACTCAAAGAATGAAACACATGTAAAATTCTCAGGATGGTGTTTATCTACTTTTAATATTTAGTAGATACTTTTGCTTGCAATAAAAATTACTCTATTGGTTTCTTTCTCTGACCCCAACAGTGACAAATCCAGACATATTGCTAGTGAGTGTGAAGACGCGCACTAGGGTACTAGCCTGGAATCCATAAGATTCCCTTCCTCATCTTTGCATCTGCCATCTCAACACACTAAATGATTCAGTTATGAGCTGATATGTTGCCTTACTGTCACTTTTGATCATACAAGCATTTAATAATAATTTTCTAAGCACATAGGGAAAATGCAAATAATTACATATGTAAAATTGATTTCTATTAATTAATTACCAGATTAATTATATTCAGTAATTTCTGTTTTTACATAATAATCAGACAAGAAAAATAGATTAAAATATTAACCCTTAACTATGAACTAATTGTACAAACTACATATATTTGTGCAGATGATAATTGTATAGATGTAATTATATACAAGGTATGTGATCTATATATTAAAAGGAAATTATCTGCTCGGGGAAGGATGATGCATATATATGTGTCCATTCCTGGCTTTCTTAAGAAAGGTATCGTGACTTTTTCAGGGAGACTTGTGAAGATGCAGACTGTGGCCATGTGTGTAGGACTGCTCCTCTTCAGTGTGACCTGGGCAGCACCAGTAAGCATTTACAAATTAATTTACATGGCACATAATCTCTCTCTCTCTCTCTCTCTCTCTCTCTCTCTCTCTCTCTCTCGTTTTCAGGTAGTGTTTGTTAAAAAGTGAAGCCCTGAGCATGCAAATCAGAAGCCTGCCAAAATAAGATAGTGCCATGTTGTTTTATTACAAATCTCTGAGAAAATGAGTACCAGTCACAGCGTTCCAAGTCAGCCCAGATTAGTGAGTTATGCTCAAAAACTGGAACCATCATGTATCAAAAAGAACCTTGTAATATTTCACCAGAGCCTTGAGGAATTTGACATGAAAGTGTAAAGCTAGCTAAATGCATTTTGCAAATAGATGGCTCTGAGAGGAGACTCTGTGTCTGGCAACATCTTGGTAAGCGGGAGCCTGTCGAAGATACTCTTTGATGAGGCTAAAATGGAACTGATGCCCATGATCTTACCTAAATCCGGTCTCTATTGCCTCTCATGACTCTTCCTCTTCTGACTCACCGGTTGAACACTCAGGATGTGACCAAATCAGCCTTTGACAAAGTTGAGTACAGGCTTTCTGCAACTCAGACACGGAGCTAATTAGATAACGTCTTACCGGCATCCTAGCTCCCAGAGTAACCTTGTGGGTTGAGCAACTATGGAAACAAGTACTCACTCCATTGCTGATCATACTTAAATATAGGTCCCAAGTAAGTGGGTGAGCTGTTGGGTAACCAGACTGACAGGATGAACCATCTGGTGAAAGAGCAGAAATGAGGGGATCTCACTAACTTCTTCACGCACAGCATTTACACAGCCTTTACGAGAGCGGTGCCTACCGAACCAGTCAGTCCCACCTGATCCCCATGGGGCCAGTCCGAACCATACAGGCTTGCACTGAAGCAGGCTGGTGGTCAAGTGGGTCTTGCTGACCTACTCAGTCCAACCAACCGACGCTGAGTTATTTTGAGCCGCACATTCCAGTGAAGAGCTGAAGTGTCCTTTCTAACCAGCTTCCAGTAAAGTGCCAGGCCAACATCAATCCGGTGACCGCCAGTAGGAAGAGGTTGCCAGCTTTCTTCCTCGGGGAAGACGATGTCATATCCATTACAGGGCCACTGTCAAGTTCAGTGCAACTGCCAAGTGGGTGTCAGAAGAGTAGGGAGGACTGCAGATTCCAAATTAAAGAGTCTTTGTAGGGTAACAGGGACAAAATCGGGTACTGTGAATTGTAGTGTCATCTTTTCTCACACATACATACATCCCATTTTAACTATTCCCTCAATCATTTGATCATAGGCTGTTGGTATAAAAATGAGCATATAGTAAACCATGTGCATGTGTCATAATTATGACCTGGACTCAAACAGTTTTAAAGTGTGAGCAAAGAGAAGGGGAAGATCAAGCAGTGATATTCAATCACTACACATTGCAGGCAGTTCAGTACGGGAGGCTTTGGTCCAAGTCACAATGAATCGGGAACTATACCAGGTTAATCTATGTCACAAGTACATGTTTTAACACAAACATAAATGAGCATTCTCTGTTAGAAAACACTCAGGCTATCATATCCTTATTTTTATACCTATCCAAGTTATTTCTGTATTCTTCTTTCTATAGCTCATTTTATTGCTAAAAATGAGGTAACACTTTAAATTTATTTTTACAGAATCATGAAAGAACTAAAAATAAGAAATAGATGCAAAAATAAAAAAATCATGAAATATATCTTGAAGATTTGACATAAGCTTTAGGAACATATCTCCATATAATAAATATCTTTCCAAATGAAGCTACTTTCATCTTCTCATTGCTTCAGCCTTGGGATTTTGGAAGAGGAGGTTCAGGCTGAGATTTCTCCCTTCTTCTCCATCACCAGCTGTGTCTGTGTGGGCACTCTCTTTCCTCTGTTCATCTCAAGGGGTTGTTGTGGTACTCAAGAGAAATTTCCATGCAAAGTTCCTTTGCAAAGTGGGAAATTCTCTGCAAATACATTGTGTCCTAGAAATAGAAGATGTTACTGACATATGAATTATTTATTTCTAGAATGAAAAGGAATAGTAGACCAAATAATGAGTCACTCTCACTAACCACTTGAGTTTACATTTATGGACACTAAACCTGTCGGGTTGCACATGAAAACGCCTTTCCTGTGTGTTTCAATGACCATGACTCCCACTCTGGAGCCCCAGGCCTGCCTTTCCCCTTTCGTGCCATGGGAAGGCTGCTTCGTGCTGAAATCTGATTCCGTGGCCGAGATGGCACTGCCATCTAGTGGGGAGGAAAATGATGTTTTCTTCCCTAACAAATACTTACAGAGAAGTGGGTCTGAGCCTCTTTCAGTCAGAATGATTTTTCACATTAATATAATCCAGTGAAAGAAAAAGAAATTAAATATTTGTTGTTTGAAGAAATGAATGAAAGAACTTTCTATTTGGTGGAATTGAGTTGCTGGTCTCCTTGCAGAATTTCACCCAGAGACTGAAAGCCAGGCAGGGTTGTGTAGATCAACAGAGGGCAAACAGAATCATTCCTCCCAAATAACTATTTTAGCTCTGTAAAGAAAGAAAAAGCAATGAGAGAACAATTTAACTGCCAAAATTTCTTTGGGTTCTTATGCAAGGGGTGTACAGTGTCCAGCAGAATTGCCACACATTCTAGTCCATTGTAATTCCTACAACAGATAATGAAAAATGTCCACATATTGATGTTCTTGTCCCAATGTGATGCCATCCTTGAAATCACAATTTTCAGAGGGATAAGTAAGAGTTCTGGGACATTGTTATTAGCAAATGCTATTCCCTATGTGTGTGGTATATGAAAGTGAACTAACATTCAAGGAGGGAGGAGGCTGGTTAACAGGCTTCCATAGAGAATTGGATTCACGTGGAATTAGGTTTCCACATGCATCAAGAAAGCTATCAATACAAGAAATATTATCAAAGACCAAATTACAGCTCATCTCGACCATGGTTTGTCCTGGCAATCCCAGTTCTATGTTCTGAAACTCTCAGCTGAAAATAACAAGGGTCCGAATAGCAAACTTAAAAGTCAGAATGCTCAAGGGGTGGCACCAGCTGGACCTCAGCCACGAGCACAGTGAAACCTGTCTTTCCTCTCATGGCTTCTCCACTCTACTATGGAACTTCTTCCCAATGTTGCAGTTCCACTGAAATATTGATACACTGTGGTATGACAAACAGTTGACAGTGACACACAGGAAAATATATTTCAAGATATAAACAAAAGAGAGCCTATGCGGTGACTGTCTTCTAGGCCAACACTCGCCCTCCAGTGGTTCTAAGAAGTACTACCGATTGTCAGATGCAAAATTAGACCTCTTTCAAATTAAAAAGAAATATTCTCTAGTATTAGGAAGAAATATAATGGTGTAGGTTTTTGCATCATTTATAAAGGTCACCATGAAAACACGTCTACTCTGAAAGCAGCATAAATGTGCATGGCTAAGGAAAGACCCTTCCCATGACAGTCTGGACTAGCAAGGGGGCTCAGCAGGGACAAAGTGCCCTGGCATTTCCAGCTGTGGATGTTGCCTTTCTTCCCTGCCCGACACTTGTCAGGTACTGAAGCCAGGGTGCTATGCGTTCCAGGGTCCTCCTTACCCCCATCCACCGGTTTGGCACAAACCATGTTCTGATTCAAGACTTACTTCTGCAAACGTGGCCTTGGTGGATCTCAGGGGCCTGCTATTGTCATTTCGCTGTGCTTTGGTAGCACTGCTTCTCATGAGGGTTTTTTTCTGAGCATATCCTACCATGTGCTGGGACCGTGTAGACTTCCAGGGGAAGGAAGTTACTATCACAGACCATCTTGTCAAGAGTGACACACGTCTCCATATCTTAAACTCCTCCCACAGATGACTTCATCCACGTTCACTTTCATCGAAGAGGAAGAGTGAGGCACTTGTTCATGGGGGTGACAATAATTCTTTCATTCAGTGGCTTCTTGCAGGATCATTCCCCGCAGAACTGCACACAGCTTAAAATGCCTCCAACCGAAGGGTGATTTATTTTTCCAAATCTGGCTTCATTTCCCCTGGAAGTGAGAATTCTCCCATAGAATTTTGTTTGCTTCAGCTAGCTCTTCTTCGTACAGCCATCTCTAAGGCAGTTAGCTAATTTTGGTTCTGGGGCAACATGTTTTCAGCGCTTCCTGCTGTGTGAGTTATAACGCTAATTGAAACAACTGAGGGAGTACAATTCCTTCTCTCTCAGAACATGAAGATAGAAAAGAGACACTGAAATGAGAAACCAAGACAGGTCATAGAAAGGGTCATGTAAAAGGAGCAGTGGGCCGCTTCCCGCCACCCGCCTCCCAGCTAGCTTTACCCCTGAAATAATTACACGGAAACTGTATTCATTTAAGCACTGCCTGGCCCATTATCTGTAGCCTCTTTTTGGCTAACTCTTACATATTGATCTAACCCATTTTTAATAATGTATGTAGCCACGAGGTGGTGGCTTACCAGGAGGATTCTAACCTGTGGCTGTCCCAGAGAGGAGAGTCATGGCGACTGCCTGCCTCTGCTTTCTTTCTCCCACAATTCTGTTCTGTCTACTCCACCCACCTAAGGGCTGGCCTATCAAAAAGGCCAAGGCAGTCTCTTTATTAACCAATGAAAGTAACATGACCTTTCTCCATCAGGGTCATGTAAATGGCACCAGGAAGAAAAAAAAACCCAACCATACAATGGGACAGGAGTGGAAAGAAGTCAGTTCCAGGCTGGTGTTTAGGGAGAGCTACACAATGGGAACTGTGAGCCGGTTGTGGGGCAGAGATAAGGTTTGAGAAGACAGAAGTGAGTGGGCAGGCTGTTCTCCAGAGAAAGACTGCCATGAAGTAAGGCATGGGAGGACAGAGCGGCTGCTGACTCACAGCTGGTCGTGCAGCTGGTGGCGGACGGAAATCACGTCCCTGGGCACACGCAGAACAGGAAACTCTTTGTTCTTTAAAATATTTTCTCAGACAAATGCTTAACTGTCTTACAGCAAAATTAAAATGTTGTCTCTTGTCTGCTATACAAAACAGTTTTATTTTCTCCTCTAATTAAATGCACACCAGTGATTAGCAAACATACTACTTTTCTAATAAAGAAGAGGAAGAGAAAAAGAGACTAATAGACACACACACACACACAAATGGGACAAAATTTCCTCTAAGAGTAGGCAGGAAAAAAATTAAGAATTTTAAAATTTAAATTTAACTTAATATACTGTACTAATTTTCTTTTCTTTTTTCCTTTTTCTTTCTTTTTCTTTCAAGACAGGGTTTCTCTGTAGCTTTGGAGCCTGTCCTGGAACTAGCTCCTGTGCATACACTCCTAGTGTTCTTAATCAGAGATTGAGGGTGTCAAAACTCTCTTTTTAGACAATGTGTGGTCAGTGCCACAGGCTCGCACAAGTCACAGTCAAAGGGTGACATTCCGAACACAGGGAAAGGAGTGAAGATGGAGTCCACAGTTAGCTGCTACGACTTAAGATGTAAAGACTTGAGAGGACAGTTGTGCCTCCTAATAGGAAGTGGCTGCTGTTGCCACTCTGTAGGGAAGCAAGCTAGCATGACATCATGGATGCCACACAGCCCTGATTGAGGGACAGCTAGGGTCATTGATACAGACCTTGGTGGATGAGAGAGACACTGCAATAGATACTTTACTTACATTGTTTCAATGAACAAGATTGTTTCTTTAAAAAATCCTGAAATGTATTTATTTTCTTGTCTGAAGTTCAAAGTGAGCTGTCTGAAGTGAGGTGTCTGAAGTTCAAAGAAGCAAAGTAGCATCCTGGGGTCACATGCCTCCCCGGGTCACATAACTTCCCAGGTCACATGCTTCCCCGGATCACATGTCCCTGCAGATCACCCAGCCTGAAGAGGAATAGCAGCTTATGTGATTGGTGCCTGGGTCCTTCTGGGGCACAGTTACTTTAGTGAGCACTGGAGAAATTTTGAAACTGAGGTCTGCAGAGATGATTCTACAGTTAAGAACATTCACTGCTCTCCCAGAGAGAGGATCAGGGTTTGTCTTCTCACACTTAGGTGGTAGTTCACGACCATCTATAACCTCACTTTCAAGGGATCTGATGGTCTCTCTGGCCCCTGTGGGCACTGACACATGGTGCACAGACACTTATACAGGCAAAACATCCACACACATTAAAAATAACATTTGGGTATTCCGTGACCTCATCTGGTGCAGCTCGCCATGGCCCTTGCTTACCTGAACTGCTTTACCATCTCTGTGATCTTCCTTACACCTCATATAGATGTAAGCGTTTGGATGTTCTTTCTTTTTCTCCATATGGAAACTTTCATCTATTCAAATCTTTAATTATCATAACCAAGATGTTAAGACACTCAAGGAAAACTAACACACCAAAGTGTGTCCAAAAATATATTGATTTTGCTACTTAATCTAAAAATAGTCTCACCATTTTGCTTCTGAATATTTGAATCTTACATGGCCATTAAAATTACTTCATTCTTCTTTTCCCATGAACCTGCTTGGCTCCATTTCATCCTCATTGAGTTGTAGGCTTTTCACTAAGTATGTTTTAGGTTTTAAACACTTTCTATGAATTACCGGATTTTTAAAATTTAACTTGAAATAATTACTTTATGCTAAAAATTTTACGTTGTGAAAAGAAAAAAAAGAGACAATATTGCTCTTCACCAGTTTGACAAAGGAAGAAATTGTGAGCTGACACCTAAAGAAATCATTACCTAGAAAAAGAGAAAGCCTTGTTTCATTTTGAAGCCAATGAAAATAACAAAAATAGAAAAAAAAAACCCAAATCTTTTTTAAATCCGCAGATGATGAACGAAGAGGATGGCACCACCAACAAAGGCAGCGCCCACAGGGACTTGCCCACGGGGGACAATGGAGCAGAGGATGGCGAGGATGCCCTCCTGAACCTGCCTGACCAGGAAAGGGATGGCGCTGCTCTCCTCAGAAGTATCGCGCAGCCTATAGAGAGACCAGAGACTGGGAGTGAACTACGGAGTCACAAAAACACAGAGAAGAAACCTAAGAGTGTTCCAAACATGATTCCAGCAGATGTCAGTGATGCGGAAGACCACTTGAAAGATGAAAAGATTCAACAGAGGAATCTACTGTCCCAGATTAGCCCAGTGAAAAGCAAAGGTACCCACCAGATCCAACGAAGCCCTCACTACCCAACACATCGCCCCCAAATCAGAAAGATCCCCAGTGACTTTGAAGGTAGCGGTTCTGCAGACATTCAAGCGAGGGGTGATAACGATGTCCCTCCTTTCAGTAGGGAAGGCCAACGTTTCACGTACATTCCTGGCCAAGGAGGTGCTATTGGACCCGCTCTAGAAAGCTCAGGCAGTCGCACAGGCCTCTCAGGCTCTGACAAATCTGAGGTTGTTAACCCCCACTCGAGTGGACTGGGTTCTAATGAGATCCCAGAGAGAGAAACGCATGGCGGTGATGTTGTTGAAACCAGAGACAAAACCACACAACGGGCAGGCGCTGCTGGTGTGAGCCTGGTGGAGGGCGGCAATGACATCACAGGCAGTACTAATTTTAGGGAACTCCCTGGAAAAGAAGGGAACAGAATTGATGCTGGCAGCCTAAATGCTCATCAAGGGAAAGTAGAATTTCACTATCCACGAGTGCCCTTCAAAGAGAAGCCAAAAGGGGGCAGCACTGACAGCTCCGGGAGCGCCAGTTACAATGAGATTCCGAAGCGCAGTAAAGGCAGCTCTAGGAAAGGTGCGGAAGAATCCTACAGGAACCAAGAGACCTTGACTGAAAAACAAAGGTTTCCAGGCAAAGGCGATAGTCAGGGCCGGGTTCTTCCTTCTCACGGTCTTGGTAATGAAGTTAAAAGTAAAGGAGATTCCTCTAACGTTCCCAGTAATGAGCGGGTTATAACACACAGTAGAAAGAACCATTATGTACTCCACGGGCGGAACAGCTCTACACGGAATAAAGGGATGTCTCAATGGAGGGAGGTCTGGCCTTCGCGGAGGCCCCACGCCCAGCGGCGCTTCAGCACCCACAGAAGAGACAGCAGCGAGTCTTCGTCCAGCGGTAGCTCCAGTGAGAGCGAGGGTGACTAGCCCCCAGGAATCTGGACCAGTCGTCTCCTCCTGTCCTGGAGGAAGAGCGGATCCAGCAGAAACCGAGCAAGCTAACAAACCTCCAGGACATTGAGCTGTCATAATAGCTCTAAGAATTTCTACTCAAAGTTCTAATGCCCTTTTTAAATAAAAATTTCCATTAAGAATTTATCTAGTAGGTAATATTTGGGTAGGTGACACCTTAAAATAGCCTGTGAGTGCCATGCGTGCCTTGATGTGTATTGTTTGCTCACAGAATGAAAATAAATGTGCTTTTTCTATGATCATCTGTAGTTAAATGATCACTTCCAGACTGTTGGCACTAGTGGCAGAATTAAGAGGTAACAATCTTAATCTGCCTCCAGGAGAGAGGGAAGGTGTATGAGAATCCCCCGGACAAGAAGGAGACACTTCCCCATCACACTCTGGCTGGCTATGCTCTTCCCTCTGCTGTGCGTTTAGTGTCCTGTGCAGCAAGTTTTATCTCTGAGGAAAATCTCATGGTGATCACTTTTGCTGGTTCTGACTCCATCTACAGAGAAGCAGAGGACAGACGAAGTGCCATGGGAGATGGGGAACGAGCAACAGAAACGAGAGCACTGACCACTCTCAAAGTATCCCAGCTCTGTGTCTTCTCCCTCTCTTGAGCATAGATGGTTTTCTGGCTAAGACGGTCTTGTAGTGCAGGCCTGGGAGGGGACCTATGTCTCCTGTTGAGGGAAGCGTTTGTCCCATGGCAAGAGAGACCCCATTTCTCTCTTCTCAGTCCTTCTTGGTTTAGCTTGAGCATGGTGTTGAGATGCTCAGGAGCCAGTGTGTGGCCACGAGGGGAAGGCAGAGCAAGCATAGAAAGGCCACAGAGTCAGCCCCATGTCAAACATCCTCATCTGCCAGAAAACTAGCTCTCCTTATGTTAGGCGTCAGTATATTGTTGTTACCGACTCCTGCTCTGAATTCATTACTAATATTCTTCTCCTTTTCCATAATGATGAGCCTCCAGGGAAAGAAAGGAGGACTGTAAGCTTCAGAAGAAAATGTGGGCCTTATTCCTCCTGTCCCTTGGAGACTCTCAAACAACAGACAACCTGACCAGTGGGTTATACGACAAATCCTTATTTTGATTCCTGGTACTCTTTTTTTTTAATAAAAGAATAATAATTTTGAGCAAAAAAAGCATGCCAAAAGCAATTAAGTAGAGAAATTATAACTGAGTTTAAATTGCAAATAAAAAATTGAAAGCAACCCAATGGCTTTTACACAGGAATGGTCTGAGCACATAGGAGCTGTTAAAATGGTGAGAGAAAACAACTACAAGAAGATGGAGAGAGCAAATGCCGTCTTAGGTCTTCATGTGTGGCTACCACCTTGTCTGTTATCTAGGGGGACAGGTGCACACCTCAATTCTCAATTCCCTTGTTAGGTTGTTCCCTCTCCCCATGTTTGAGCACTCATGGATAGCCCTTCAGAGCATTGGTGAGGGATACATACATACGTACATACATACATACATATATATGTACATGTGTGTATATGTGTTTATGTGTGTATCTATCTGCTTCTCTATAAGTGAAAGACCAAGACATCATACTGAGGTGAACATACACATGGAGGCACTGGTACAGACCCAGAACCACTGAAACTCACGGGTTCCTCTGCAGTGAGACAGATGCTCCATCTTCATTTAAAGATAAATAAACATAGATCTTCAAAACCAACAGTTTCAGCCTCTCTTAGCTGCCTTCAGAGGAACGAGAAAAATAGAGGCACTCTGCCACCTTGTGCCCAAAATGAAAAACTGTCCATGACCAGACACGGGAGCAGTGTGGTCTGTCATTGACTTACCTTCCTGCAGGGCGCTCCCAGCAAGCCACTTTCTTTGGTTTTTCTGTTTATAAATATCTGCCTATCATTTGCCACCCAATACTCCAGCCTATCAGGGCAGACTACCCAATCCTGTCCAGCTTCTTAAGCTTGAAACAGTTTACAACATTCTGGGAAGAACAGAAGGGAGGCGATGCTCCCGAGCTTTACTGAATGGATAATGTAAGGAAAGGGACAGGTGATCAGAAAGAAGGCAGGATGAGGGGGGTGGGTCCTAACCTAGAGCCTTAGAAACAAGTGAGTGGCGTCAAGTGAATCCCTGGAACTCATTGACCAACTGGCCTGGATGGATTGATAAACTCCAGGTTCAGTAGGAGACTTGTGCCAAAAATAGAAAGTGAAGAACAATGGAGAAAGGCATTCAAAGTTAACCTCTGACCTAGTCACACATACCCTCACTAATGCATGCATACACTCCACAATCTGGAGCATATACATTGGTCACACAGATATGCACTCATGCACAAACACACATGTGTACACACAGAGAATAAGGCAGAGGTCTTTAAGATCTACACATTTAGACAGATTACATATCTACAAGTAAATAAGAACTTTGCAGTTAGTTGATGGCCTTAAGTGGTACAACATGTATTTTAAAGTTTAGAAAAGATCCCTCAGGCTGGGCGATGGTAGTGCATTCCTTTAATTCCAGCACTCGGAAGGCAGGGGCAGGTGGATATCTGTTAGTTCAAGGCCAGCCTGGTCTACAAGAGCTAGTTCCAGGACAGGCTCCAAAAGCTACAGAGAAACCCTGTCTTGAAAAACCAAAACCAAAAATAAATAAATAAACAAACAAACAAATAAATAAATATTCCTCAGTCGGAGGACTAGGAAGCTGTGGCGGTGAGCATGGGGCTCAGGAGAGTAGCACGAAGGAAGGCTCCCTTAGACACATGGACTGTGGATAAGAAAGGCCAAGAAGGAACTGTGATCAAACCCTGCCTGCCACTCAGTGGACAGTGCTTTGACGTTTATGGGGTACTTTATTACACATGTCTCAAGCTTAGAAATATAGCTGTCGCCATATTTGAATTTTTATAGATTATGTTATGTCATTAATAGATTAGTATCAGAAGTTAAATCATTTTAAGTTTTTTTGTTTTTGTTGTTTTTTGTTTTTGCTTAGGACAATGAGACAGAGAAAGTCTGGAGCTGTGGCAGATGTGTTCTATTAAACCGAGCAATCATTTTAGCAGTCGATTCTGATGGGATCTGGCACCAACCTTGGAATACCATGTATAACAGAAGATCATTGAATAGGAAATCTATTGTTTTCATTTGTAACAGGCTCAAATGACTACGAACCCACATTTGAAATCACCATCATGAGTGTCTTTTCCAGCAATTTCCAAATCATTTCCTGGGTCCTCTGTAGGTCCGTGGGCAGTCCAGACTTACTAACCTGGTAGTGTGGGGATAGTTCCATCTCCGATGAAGAGAACTCTTCTTTATAGATACCTCACATCAACAAATTAAAGAGAATCACAGATACAAGTCAAGACGGCCCTAGACAGGCTCTTGGGGAACAGACATAGTTGGAAGTATATGCATGTCTTCCTTAGTTCACAAACTGCTAAAAGCCAGGTATGAGATTTGATGTGCTGCTGGTCCCATACTGAACGGTCATTCAGACAGGATATCCCAAACTGCTCAACACCACGTGTCTGTGTAAAAGACAGAAGCGAGTGTGCAGAGGAGACAAGAAGGAACTAAAACAGCAAATCACGTGTGCACATGGTGGTGGTACTTCCTCCTTCGCCTTGCTCAAGGCTCTGAGGGCCGACAAGCTCTCTCTACTCTGAACAGAACCTTCAGTCTGTAGAATTTTTGAGTAATGTTCCTCAGATGTGTGGGCCTCCCCCGCCATGTCAGCCGTGGTTCTTGTTTAGTGTTGAAGCTCTCTGGACCACATGAGTCCAGATTATATGAAGCTACAAGCTTTTCTCAGGTGTGGGATCTGATCGCCACCAGCCTTCAAAACAACAGTCAGGATGAAGATAGAGTTCACCTGTGTGAAAGCTCCCCTGGTCCCGTGCCCTCTGGAAGAGAGACGCTCTCTAACTCTTGGGTGTGGCACAAGGCTTCCTCAGAGCCACAAGTGAACGAAGAGACTTTGTTATTTCCACTTACTCTTGCTATGAAAAGAGGCCTTGGATCTGCTGACATGTATTTGTTCTATGAAATAACAAGAGTGAAATTATGAAAGTAAATATATAAAGGAGTAAAATAAAGAAAATCAAATAAAAGGTAAATATATATGCAAACAGTAAAGCAAGTTTAAAAATATATAAATGGTAAAATTATAAAAACAGAAAACTACAAGGGAAAATTATAGCATCACGTGTTTTTCTAGTCCTTTGTCTAACACTTCTATGTATTGTAAGAAGACAGCACCAGACTCTGTTCTTCTACCACCCTCTCATCTCACTGCCATTTTATCACGTGACTATTTCTTAATCAACTTAATTTGATTATATAACTATACCAGAACTTGTTCAGTGTGTTGTTGAGGGGACTTAGTCTTCTCCCAGATTATTTTCTCTTGTGAATTCTTGCTTTATTATTAAAGTTTGACACTGTTGACATTCCCTTACTCTCCATAAGTTCATTTTTTTAGTACCATAGATGAACAAAAGTTATGTATAATGGCTATCCATTATGCTTAGGATTTCATGACATTTTTCAAGCTGGCAGGTGTTTAATTACTTTTTGATTAATCATTCATTAAAAAACCAGTACTATAGTAAGTATCCTTGGCTAGGTATATTTGTGTATAACAGAAAGGTAAAGTCACAGCACTGCCAAGGTGGGAATTAAATATTAAATACCGGGCACAAAGTGATGGAGACCTGGTTCAGTAACAGAATTCTTGCCTTGTAAGTCTACAGCCTAAAAGAAGACAGAATACCTTATATGCCAGATGCCAGATATGTGCTGTAGCAGTATGCTGTACATATAAAAATCCAGATCTTGAAACAATTGCGTGTATACAGATGATCCCCCATTTATAATGATTTGGCTAACTTTTTAAACTACTCTCCAGCAATATGAATGCAGACCTTATTTCATAAAAAAAAAACCACTCAGATTTTGATCATGTTTTCCTAGACTCTCAG